TTGTGCTATCCGCAATTGCATGCTGCGGATGCGGTTTGGGCAGATAAGAAGGTATTTAGTCCATGGGATTGTGATAGTGGTCGCCGGGTCTAGGTGAAGGATGGTTCTCCACTTCTCCGCCAGCCTTGGGTTCGGGTCAGTGGTTTTTAACTTTTTAGGCCGAGTTTATATCCGAACTTTACGACGTATTCTGTTATCACCCTTGGTTTCCCAGTGGTGCCCTGGTCCCATATCCACTACTTTGGGTCGAATTCTAGGTCCTCGATGTTGAGTTCCAGCTGGAAGATGAGCCAGGGCTTCCTTAGCAAGAAGGTTTCAATTTGTTCATGGTGTGGTGCTTTGTTCAGAGCTTCTAGTTCGCATAGGCTGTCTGGCAATGGGGTAGGAAATGAAGTTCGCCTGGCTCTAGGCTGGTAGTTAGTTCGATGCGGTTTGGATATGAACCGGTAAGCTCTTGTTGGTGGGGACTACATGAATTTTCGATTGTTGGACAGCAAGTGACAACCCTTTAGGGTGGTGCTCAGATCCTGTTCGTTAAGCCATTCTTGCTGGTCCTCGGACCACAAATGTTTGATCTGCCATACACCTCGTTCTACCCATGAGAGCCATCTGCAGTCTTTGGGTCGGAGAGTCCAGGGCTCGCCCTTTGTGTCTTTAATCCCAGGATTGCAGAACAGTCCATTCTTGCCGGTCCTCGGACCACAGATGTTTGATCTGCCATACACCTCGTTGTACCCATGAGAGGCATCTACGGTCTTTGGGTCGAAGAGTCCAGGGCTCGCCCTTTGTGTCTTTAATCCAAGGATTGCAGAACAGGGACCGTCTTAGGACTTCCTCTTTAATGTGTGGAGAACCTTTCTTTTCTGGTATCAGTTGGCGCTAGGCCCTTTGTGTCTTTAATCCAAGGATTGCAGAACAGGGACTGTCTTAGGACTTCCTCTTTAATGCGTGGAGAACCTTTCTTTTCTGGTATCAGTCGGCGCCAGGCCTTCAGGATCGGTGACCAATAGGGGTTGGTTGTGGTGGAGGGATGAATGGGTTTTGCAGGGTGAGTTCTCCTTGTTGACCTCCCTGATTTGATTGCCCAGTCCCTTGCCATGATCTAGAAGAGGCCCCTCATGTTCGGTGGTGAGCTACCGGAGCCAAAATCCTTATGCTGTCTAACGCCATCTTGGTCCACGGGAGGGCATACTTTGTTAGGATTTTGATTATCCACTTCATCTGGAAGGCGGTCGCTTCCTGTTTCGGATCGATGATGCCTTGTCCTCCTTCGTGTGGTTTCCTGATAATGATTTGCCAGCCTACTTTGTTTAAGCATGTGGTTCTGCTGGGGTCTCCACTCCATAGGTAGCATCTGCTCTTGCTTTCAACTTTTTCAGGTCGTCATCCTGAGGGGACCATATGGAGGCCATGTACCACAATGTTGAGAAAACAGCCGCGTTGATGATTAGCGCTCTCCCTAGCAAGGAAGCCCGGGCTTTCCTGCAGGGGGCTAGACGAGTTATCGCTCTGGCAATCAAAGTCACCCCCATCCCTTGCCAAATGTCATCTCTGTTTACCATAATACCCCGATACCTAAGAGCTTGGTCACTTGTGGACCATGACATTGGGGTGAATAAGTCTGGGGATTGGGGGGGGGTGCCTTTTGCAGGCCAACATCCTTCGGTTTTCTCCCAGTTCACCTTAATTTTTAAGGCTAGTCTGAAGGCTTCCATAGCGCAGGCTAGGGCTTGAAAGGAGGAATTGTTGGCGCGAATGAGGACCGTGAGGTTGTCTGCGAACATAAGTGTTGTGGGTAGAGCGAAATCGTGAAGGGGATTGTAGTTTTGTTCAGCCAGGCAGTCTATGGATGGGTCCTTGCGCAGAAAAGAGGCAATCACTTCCATTATGAACATGGATATCGATGGTGCGAGGGGGTCGCCTTGGCGGACCGATCTTGATATCGGATAGGTGTCTGACAATATTCTGTTTATCTGCACTTTGCCTGTGGCGTCTCCATATGGCACTCTTACCCACTCTCTGAAATTTGGCCCGACTCCCATCCTCTCCATGCAGTCATGGAGGAAGTCCCAGTTGACTTGATCGTAGTCCTTTTCAAAGTCGAAGAATAGGATCGCCGCCTGCATTCGTTTTCCTGTAATCTTCTTTGCAGCCTCGTTTAGGGCCATCACATTATCAAGAATATATCGGTCTGGGATGGAGCCTGCTTGGTCGATATGGAAGCATTTGTCCATTAGTTTTAAGATTATGTTGGTTGGTGTCTTTGCGAGGATTTTGTAGGGCCTTGCGAGGAGTGAGATTGGCCTGTAGTTCTTTAGATCTTCCTTGTCTCCCTTCATGCAGATCAAAGAGACTACGCTGGTGCTCGAGAACTGAACCAGGCCTCCCTTTTCTCTGTTGTCGTTGATGAAATTCAGGAGGTCGTTGCCCAGTTCCGACCAAAACTGGGTCCAGAATTTTTTGGACAGACCATTGATACCTGGTGCCTTGTCATTTCCCATTTGGGACAAGGATCCGTGAAGTTCTTCTGAGGTGCTATCGGGCGTTGATAGCCTCGTTCAGGGCCATCACGTATGTTTCTGCGTGATCGTTCTATCTAGGTGCCTCATCATGTGCTAACGGGCATTGATATTTACTGTTGGAGAGCGGGATGGGGTCTTGGCCTCGTAATGATCAGCATAGAAGGATCTGGTGCTTCTTACCATGTATGTGCCGGTTGACTTTGTCTTCCCATGATCTGTTGGGTCCTTCAGCCCCTCTATCATGTTGTTCCTAGCATTGGCCTTGATTTTGGAGAAGAAGAATTTAGACATGGATTCGTTGAGATTGTAGTTGGTCATTCGGACGCAAATTTGTAGACCTCTGAGTTCCCATCTTCTCCATTCATTTAGTTCATCTTTGGTTGATTGGAGTAGGTTGTGGTAGGAGTTGGTAAGGTCAGATGCGAGGTTGGCCTCTGCCACTTTGAGAGCGATCTGCAGTTCTTCCTTCCTTAATCAAGTTCTGCTGCTATGGTTCTAGACTTTGCTGACACCGTTTGAGATAGGTCTATGTAGCTATCTATGAACCACTTGTGTCTGTTCGAGTGTGTCGCCTCTTCTTGCTGTAAGAACACCCATTTCCATCTGACTGCCTCAATCATACGGTCTGTGGAGAGAAGGGAGTTATTCATTCTTAAAAAACCCTGGCCTTTCTCAACCGGGGAGTTGAAATTTAGGAGCAGGTATGTCGGCTTGTGGTCAAGTCCCGTGAGGATATCGGCCTCCTTGATAGTTCCCTGCAGTGTATCAGACATTAAGAAGAAGTCAGTCCATGATAGTGGTGTGTGGTTAGAATGGTTCCTTTTGACTAAGGAGAAGGCATTCTTTCGAGCGTGGAGGGTGCGAAAGGGGTCGATCAGCTCAAACTCCGTCATGATATCCCGGATGTGAGTGCTAGCTCGTGCGGGACCCAGCAGGACTGATCGAGAGTTGCCGTCTAGGCTGGGGTCGAATGTCGTGTTCCAATCATCTGCTATGATCATCGGTAGGGGGTTCGGGAGGAGTGATTCGAGCCACATTTCCCAATTTTGAATTAGCCAAAATTTTGGCTGGTTATGAAATGACTTTTTTTTTTTTGGGGGGGGGGACTTCACAAGAGGAATCGGTCCCCCGGTCATAAAAAAGTGCTTGGCCAAACTCTCTGGTGTCAATCGAGGCGCGTTAGCAGAATTTCCCAGTTTCAAAATTGGAAATTATATTATGGAAGCTTTGGAGTAGAAGTAATTGAAATAAAACCCAAAAATTGGGCTTCTATATTGGACATTCTTCTTGTACGTATGAATTTTTGCTCCACTATTTTCACAGCAAGACAGCTTATAACTTGTAAGTCATATGAATATTTGTGTTAATAATCAAATTATCCTTCGGCCAAGATCAGCAGCGAGATATCTTCGCCCATTCATTTCAAGAAGCGGGGTCCAAAAGGCCTCGATTTTTTTTGTGAAGAGGCAGCTCCCTCCCATGGGCTAGGCAATCGCGGGGATGCCCTTCACTCCTCGGCCCCCCCCCTCCTCCCCCACAAGCGTGGGTTCGACCGGGTGTCTGCCGGGCTGGTCAACCGCCCGGTCCGATCAGCACCCTCCCGTGGGCTAGGCAATCGCGGGGGTGCCCTTTACTCCCCCCCCCCCCCCCCCCACACACAAGCGTGGGTTCGACCGGGTGTCTGCCGGGCTGGTCAACCGTCCGGTCCGATCGGCAGGCTCCCGGTCGGCGGAGGGGTCCCCAGTCCAACCGGGGACCAGCCCTGCTTAGCATGAAATTGTCCGTGCTATGCATAAGGGAAACACACACGCGCAGACACACATCCATGCACACATGTGCGCACACACACACACACACACACACTGCGCACACACACACACACACACACACACACACAGAGAGAGAGAGAGAGAGAGAGAGAGAGAGAGAGAGAGAGAGAGAGAGAGAGAGAGAGAGAGANAGAGAGAGAGAGAGAGAGAGAGAGAGAGAGAGAGAGAGAGAGAGAGAGAGAGAGAGAGAGAGTTTCAGGGATAATATCAGTTTTCCATTTTGCCCGTGGATAATGTAGAATCTAGGCTGCCGGGCGTAAGGATACCGCTCTCTTCAGATGCCCTGTCATATTTTCCTAAAATTTGAGAATCGAGTTCTTCAAAACAATCTTTTTAAATGACAGGAAAGAACAAGGTCCGGAACTTGCAGAGCATGTTACAATACAACCAACTTTTAGCTCAACAAACTTGTAGCCAAAAAAAAAGAAAACAAGAAGAATCCTGGAACTCCACTTGCAAACAATGTCATCTGGATGGTACCCAGACCCAAATCTGGGACCAGCCTAACCATGAATTGATTCCAAGATCAGAACGCATACCGTCCCACACTCAGTGTAAAGGAGAAAACAGTACTGCAAAGTTTGAAGGTGCATGTCACATTTCGAATATGCATAGAAAAGTTCCTATGTTCAAAATCCGATGTTTCAAATAAGTCTAGAAAATTTTATTCTTCCTAAGCAGATGCTTAGGCTCTGAACTCCTGTCACACTGCAAATAAGCCTAGAAAATTCTGATTCTCAAAATCAGATGTTTGAACTAACGTTCATACGCAGCTTTACACCGGAGAAAAAGAGCAAAGCTTTCAGATAAACACTTATCCCAGTAACAACACAAAACTTGTGTGCTTTTCCTATGTTAATGTGAAAACTTAGCATATGCGATATTACAAACATCATCCTGACACTTTCTGAAGTTGGAGCTGGTCTGTCATCAAGAATGCATCTAACCTACCCATATCTTCTGCGCGCACCCCCCCCCCCCCCAACCCTTCGCCCCTCTCTATCCATCCGTCAATCCGGATAACGCTTGCATCCTCTGTCTTACTGCGGCTGCTGGCACAGAGTTAGCCGATGCTTATTCTTCAGATACTGTCACAATTTCCTCTCTGAAAAAAGGAGTTCGCGACTGTCGGCCTTCTACCTCCACACGTCATTGCTCCGTAAGGCTTTCACCAATTGCGGAAAACTCCCCACTGCTGCCTAGTGTTCTCCAGGCAGTCCTCTGAGGCAAAGTTATATATTTGACACATTTGAGTACGTAGTACGTACATATATCGTTCCTCCTTCAGGAGGATCTTGTCATGACATCACATTTGCCGTTCCTCTTTCCACAAACTGTTCATTGGGCAGTTCTTTATGACTTCAGTATACACAGATGTATCAGCTCTACGACTTGATAGCTATGCACGACACCGTAGGAATTTCGACACTGTAGGAATGACTAATTCTCTAGAAATTTGAGCCCCGGTGACAAGAATCTGTACACTCACCATCTTCAGCACCAGATGTGAGCTCTCTGCAGCAATCGTAAGCACGAACATGGCATTGGCAGCAGAAAACGCCTCTTGTTTTGTTTGTCATAGCCTATGTTGCCCCCCATTAGTGCAGTGAAGTGTACCTGCTTCCTCACGTATCGTTGTCCGCTTGTACGCTCTCTTCGCTAGCTGTCAAAGCAGACACATAGCAGAAAGTAGTTCCAAATACTCCATTTCCCCTGCTTATCATCTTTACTGCCCTGCCCACAGCCCACCTTATTTCACCCTCTGCCAAAACAGGCACATAGCGAAAATCACTTCATTTTCCCTTTTTATCATCTCCATGGGTATGTGCACTGCTCACTTCTCACTCAGATATGAACCTCCCTTCAGATACTTCAAAAGGACTTAACCCTAAAGGATGTCATAGATGAAAAATCCTGTTTTTTTCTTGACGGAGCTTTTGATAACCAATCTCTCAAAAGACAATTTTTTGAAATATGCTTTAAAGGCGCAAAAAAAGCGAAGGCCATTAACTTGCTGGCTAGAGGAAGATTTACTACTTAGATGATTTCCTATGAGATGTGCAGGACTTTTTGTAAACTGCTTCTTTACAGTACAGGTTCGGAATTCGAACCCCTTCACTCCAGCAATCCAATTCAAATCATGCCAACCATGCAGAGCCTCGGGCCGTGGTCCAGACAGTCCATTGCAGGATCTGGAATCTGCATGTTTGGTTGTGTTCAGGTTCTGGAATCTGGATGTTTGGAGGTGTCCAGCTAAAATTCTAAGTAGTGTCAAACAGTGCTGGTCACCGCTTTACAAAAGCTCAGGTTTATGACGGATCAGGTTATTTCCAGGTTGCTTAGGAGACCGGAGAGAGAGAGCGTTCAAGGGCTTGTTTCTTAAACCACCAGTACATGGCCCATAAATCGGCCGCGGGGCATTTTCATGCACGTGCCGCAACTTTCAGGGCTTGGCCTCCGAAGCAAAACGGCTGACGGTGCCAGCCTAAAGGAGCCCGCGCCGTTTTGTTTTTTTTTGGGCGCGCGGACATTTCAAGGGTCGGAGAAAAGTGCCTCGAGAGTACTGGTGGTTTAAATCACAAGTACACGACCCCAGCCTTGCAGGCCGAAACTTGTTGCCACAAGAAAACGAGGTCGAAATGTCAAACGCTGGGCCGGTCGTTGATAAAGTCGATCGGCAGCCCCGTTTTCATTTCGCTCCTCCAGAAATTTGAGGTGTCAGACCCCCGGCCCAGGTGCCCATGTACTGGTGGTTTCTTAAAGGAGGATTGGTATAGCCGAGAGGGGTCTGATTCGGTGGTATGGGTGTGCTGGTAGTCAATCCTTCCTGAAGGAAGTAATCAATGCTGTCAGGGTTCCCTAAGCCGAAATGCAGGGAAGCCTGGAGTGGGTAAATTGTTCTCTCTCCAGGGGACCTGGAGAGAGAGAGAGAGAGAGAGAGAGAGAGAGAGAGAGAGAGAGAGGTTACAGGCAGAGGTTATGTCCGGCCATGGGGCCCACGAGCTGATTCGACGTCGCAGGGGCAGACATTGATTGGACATTTGACAGGGAGACTATTTTTGGACTGCGCTATCGCAACTTTGGTCTTCTCCCTCATCTTCATCTTCATCTTGCTCTTCCTCCATCCCCTCATCCGTGGTTTCGCCCCATGTGCGTGCTCAAGGAGGGACCTTATTTCTGTGTATGCGGTCCCTCCCTTCTCTCTCACATGTGTGGGGTGATGGGTTGGGTCGAGTCAGTGTCGGACTGGTGAGATCATACTTTTGAGTCTTCAACTGCGGTACATTGTGCCATTTTTGTATGTATATGGATGTATATTGCTTGTTGATGCTTTGCTGATGCTGCATTGTCCATTCGAGTCCTTATCATCACTTTGCTCCATTTGCATCACTCAGATTATTCCGAGTATGCATCACACACACACACACACACACACACACAGAGAGAGAGAGAGAGAGAGAGAGAGAGAGAGAGAGAGAGAGAGAGAGAGAGAGAGGCACCATTTGAATCGCCGATCACCCTCCTCCTTCCCGTTCTTCTTCTTCTTCTTCTTCTTCTTCTTCTTCTTCTTCTTCTTCTTCTTTCTCCTCTCCTCATTTCCTTCTTCATCGTCGTCTTTTCTTGTTCCTCTCCTCCTCCCTCCTAGCACTTTCTTTTCTTTGGTTTGTTTGTTTGCCTTTTTTTTTCTTTTTAAAAAAATCAGCGCAACTCTTGGCCAAGTTCGGCGCCAATATTCGACATCCTCCCAGCGCTGGTCGACCTCCCAACTCCCACGCCAATATTCGACCTCCCTCCTCACCCTCCTCACCCTCCTCACCCACCCACCTTCCCTCTCTCCCATCGGCCTCTTCTCCCTCACCCGTCCATCTCCCTACTTCCCTTTGCCCATCGACCTCCCCGATCACCTATCACCCTTCCCCCTCGCCCTCTTCTTCTTCTTCTTCTTCTTCTTCTTCTTCTTCTTCCTCTTCCTCTTCCGCTTCTTTGTCTTCTCCTGTTCCTCGTCTTTTCCATTCTGTTTCTTCTTCTTCTTCTTCTTCTTCTTCTTCTTCTTCTTCCTTCGTCGTCGTCGTCGTCGTCGTCATCGTCGTCTTCTCCTCCTCCTCCTCCTCCTCCTCCTCCTCCTCGCCAAGGGATGCAGTCGGTGACCGCCCCCCCCCCCGCCTCCTTCCCCCTCGCCCTTTTCTTCTTCTTCTTCTTCTTCCTCTTTCTCTTCCGCTTCTTTGTCTTCTCCTGTTCCTCCTCGTCTTCTCCATTCTGTTTCTTCTTCTTCTTCTTCTTCTTCTTCTTCTTCTTCTTCTTCTTCTCCTCCTCCTCCTCCTCCTCCTCGCCGCCAAGGGATGCAGTCGGTGACCCCCCCCCGCCCCCCCCCAAACCCCGGAAAGCCCCCACTAAAAAATCCCACCTCCAAGTCCATGCAGAATCTGACAGGTATCGGTGAGCGCAGTCAGGTGCCGCATTCAAAAAAAAAAAAGAAAGGGTAATCTTTTGGGCTCAATCGGTTTCCTGGTTGAACCCCCTCAACCGACCAGCCTGGCAAGACGAGCCGGTTGCCAACCGGACCTCTGAATTCAGTCCGGATAGTCTGGTGCCCAGTGTCCGGATGAGTCCCGTGTTCAGGTCAGCGGTAACCACGATCATGACTTCCCTATACTCTTAAAGACTACAAAGGGCCCAGCGTGACACCCCGTGCTGGGCCCAGCGAAAATATGTTCGGAGGCCGACGGGCGGAGCGGGACTGACGGCGAGCGGGACTGGCGCAACACTATTCTATGTGTTTTTTTTTTTTTGGGTAGGTGTTGGCGCGGCTTCGGGGGCCAGGCGGGGTTTTCTGTTTACTGCTACTTTTTGGGGGGCGGTTGGTGTCGGCGCGACTTTATGAACGGGCTTTTTTTTCGCTACCATTTTTTTTCGCGCCGCGCCGGGGGGGGTTTGGGAAGTAGCATGACACGGTCGGCCATATTCAACCAGGTAGTGTATATTTTCATGTTCTAGCCGAAGATTCATTTGATGTTGCTCATCCTATCGATGGAAGTAGCATGGCGCGGTCGGCCATATTCAACCAGGTAGTGTATATTTCCATGTTCTAGCCGAAAATTCATTGGATGTTGCTCATCCTATCGATGGACGTAGCATGGCGCGAGCCGCGAGGTCGGAGAGTTATTGTCTCTCTCTCTCTCTCTCTCTCTCTCTCTCTCTCTCTCTCTCTCTCTCTCTCTCTCT